ATATTGTGTGCATAATTTTTATTTTTTTGGTGCAGAATTGCCTCAGGAGTAATGGCTAAAAATGAACCTCTAGGTGTTTTACATGTGATATATACTGGAACCTATGTTAAAATGTGTTGTAGTCCAAACCCCCTCTTTCACGCCGGTTCACACCCACACATTTTGAATGCTATCTTCCCTGAAGAAATAGCTGAATATGCAGCCGCTCACTGGGTGAAATGATCTGCAGCAGTTGGCAAATGCTGAGAGATGTGAATGCCAAGGGAAAAGTAAAAATAGGTCCCTAGAAGATTACGAGTAAGGATTACTGAAAAGAGAGGATTTGTTGTATGTATAGTGTGTTTTCTCGACACGTGTTGTTTTACAATGAATGGAAATAGAGATTCAATTTTTAGGCCATTTTCTATTTTATCATCATTTCTGGAATGGAGAATAGATTTGAGGTTTGTAGGATGAAATCAGGTTGAAATGATTCTTAACAATGTCTTGAACATGTCTGCAAGGTTTTAGTCGCTGGTGTTAGAAGGCAGATGTGTCACAAACAAATATTTGTTTGTTTGTTTGTATTTTTGTAACACCTAGGAGCCCCAGTCATGGATCAGAACTACATTGTGCTAGGTGCAATACAAAGACTGAACAAAAATCCTTGCCCCAGAGAGCTTAAAATCTCGTATAAGATAAGAGACAGCAGATGGATACAGACAGATGGGGGAGAAGAAGGAAACAATGAGACCGCATTGGTCAGTATGCTAGGCAGTAGTCTCAGCACACCAGTGGCTTAACCACTGTCACGTTTTTTGTAGGCATTATGGCAAAGGAAAGGTTTGAGGAGGGATTTGAAGGATGATAATGAGGTAGCTTTGTGGATGCTTATAAGGTGTGAGGGACAGCAAGAGAGAAAGCACAAAGGTGCTTTCTCAAATATGTCACAAGTGAGCTGGCATCAGTGGCCAGTGGGAGGTGAGAATCGACATTTCGATAGTGAATGATAGGTGTAGGGTTGGCATAGGCCATGAAAGGCCTTGAAAGTGAAGACAAGCATCTTATGCTTGACCAGTAGAGAAGGAAGGGCAGTGGAGGGATTCAAAGAGGGGGAGTGAGATGGTCAAAGCAACTGGCTAGGACAGTGCTCTTTGCAGCAGCATTCTGAATGGATATGGGTGTGGCAAGATTGCAGTTGTCAAGGCCAGAGGATGTTGCAATACTCGAGATGTGAGATGAGAGCCTGGATGAGAGTTTTAGCAGTGAGGATGGATTGGAAAGGGTGTATTTTAGAGATAATGTGCAAAAACAATCTGCAAGGTTTAGACAGCCTGCATGTAAGTACCTAGAGAGAAGACCAAGTCAAAGCTATACCCAGGTTACGGGCCCGAGTGTCGAGCAGGATGGTGGGGTTGTCCACAGTGATCAAGAAAGGAAGTGGCAGGGAAAGGCTTAGGGTAAAGATTAGGAGCTCTATTTTAGCCATATTGAGCTTGAGCAGGTGGCCAGACATCCACAGAGAGATGTCAGAGAGACCGGCTGACATTTTAGCTGATGTAAACAGTTCTTCTTTCTAGGTGTCCAGCATATCCTACTATAGCTGTGTTTTCCCCCCTACCTTCCCTTCTAAGACCTCAGTCCTGTAATGAGCTCTGTGGGTCTCCTGTGCCCAACTGGAGATTTCTGTTTCACTTATAGTGGGACTCAGTGTGGGCAAAAGAGATTGCCCACATTGAGTCATTGCAGGACCAAGGCCAGATACTGCAAATTATCTGTTGATTTTTTCCTTAATGGGAAAACAATTACGTTTTAACATGATAATCAGTTAAAAAAAAAAAGATTTACAAGTTAGCACATAAAAGGCTTTTTAATAGTTAATAATTCTGAAACATCTACCTATCAAAGTCTATGCTTTCATAAATTATTGTTTTTTGTAAGAAATTAACACAGCCAAGAACCAAACCAAGACACAGACATGCCCAAATAACCATTTAAAGAGTATCTGCTGACCACAAGGTGAAATAAATATTACCAAAAACATTTGTTGGGGTTTGGAGACAAGCGGCAATCATATCCAAGTGGTAAAGTTTCTCCTTAATTTATATATGCTTTTTAATTCATGTGCATCCGTTTGCTGTGTGAATATTGTTGCAATATTTTTAAATTAGATGTCTAGTAAAATAATTTTTTGCCTCCATTTTAAGATTAAATTGATTCCAGTTAGTTGTTTGAAATAAACGGCTTTATTTTATTAATTGTTTCTAACTTGAAACTTGAATAAAATGCCTAGTGTCTTTTCATGTTTCCAAAAGAGGGCAAGACCTTAAAGGCATTAATTATATACATGCATAGAGTGTTTTAAATGTATGTTACTTGTGATTTAAGGTGGAAATTTCAGCTTAAATTACTGGTAATACTTTATTTGCATGCATTAGTAAATGGCTGATCTTTGGTTATCTCCCTACCTATTTTGATTTTTAGACACTGACTCTGTAGTGAGATCCACTCAGACAGATCCCTATACTACACGGCACCCTGCTGCCACTGTGACGGGTTGGATCACAGAAACCCCCTTGGGAGCTGCCACCCGATGTGCCAAGACTACCCCTGCTTCTGTTTTCCCTGCCAGCTCAGGACTCCAGCACCCCGTCTTGCTGAATTAGACACTCCAGTCCACTTCAACACAGACCCAGGGTCTGAATCACTTGTCCCAAAGCTGCGAGTTTACCCAAAAACAGCTCACAGGAGTGTGCTTGTCTTTGGCACTCAGATGCCCAACTCCCAATGGGGTCTAAACCCAGATAAATCCGTTTTACCCTGCATAAAGCTTATGCAGGGCAAACTCATAAATTGTTCGCCCTCTATAACACTGATAGAGAGATATGCACAGCTGTTTGCTCCCCCAGGTATTAATACATACTCTGAGTAAATTACTAAATAAAAAGTGATTTTATTAAATACAGACAGTAGGATTTAAGTGGTTCAAAGTAGTAACAGACAGAACAAAGCAAGTCACAAGCAAAATAAAATAAAATGCGCAAATCTATGCCTAATCAAACTAAATACAGATAAGTTCCTCACCAGTTCCAGAATGCTCCCTTTTACAGGCTAATCTCCCTTTAGCCTGGGTCCAGCAATCTCTCACAACCCCTGTAGTTACTGTCTTTTGTTTCAGTTTCCTTCAAGCATCCTGGGGGGGTGGAGAGGCTCCTTCTTTAGCCAGCTGAAGACAAAATGGAGGGGTCTCCCCCAGGGTTAAATAGACTCTCTCTTGTGGGAGGAGACCCCCCTCCTATGCAAAGTCCAGCTCCAAGATGGAGTTCTGGAGTCACCTGGGCAAGTCACATGTCCCTGCATGACTCAATCTTTAAAGGCTGAAGCCATTGTCCACATGGTATCTTGCATGTCTCCAGGAAGACTTCTTATGTGGATTGGAGCATTCCAAGATGCATTGTTCCCCAAGTGTTTCCTGATCAGGTACTTAACCTGGCGAATTCCTTCCTAAAGAAGCTGACCAAATGCCTCCCAAAGCTTACTTAGAAACCAAGTAAGCATACAGCCCATATTCTTAACCTCAAGTAGAAAATGATATATATGTACAAATAGGATGAATAGATATAGTAGACCATAACCTTTACGGAGATATGTTACCTGGCACAGGCAGCACCAAACATATTCCAGTTATGTCATACATACATTTATAAGCACCCCCTCCCCATAAAGCCTTATGGGGTACACTGTCACAGCATGCATTAGTAAATGGCTGATCTTTGCTTATCTCCCTACCTATTTTGATTTTTAGACACTGACTCTGTAGTGAGATCCACTCAGACAGATCCCTATACTACATGGCACTCTGCTGAAGTCAGCAGGACTCCATAGGCACACAAGCGTCGGTCAGCCCAGATCTTATTGCAGAATTATGGTCTTCTGTTGATGTCCTTCATCACAGTATTGGAATGCCTCCCAGATTAATGAGTTTATTCTTACAACTCTTGTTTGCAGTAGGGAAATATTGTTCCATTTTACAGATGGAGAACTGAGGCACCAAGAGATTAAATGATTTGCCCAAGGTCATAGAGGGAGCTGGAAATTGAATCCAGACCTTTTAAATCACAAGATCATCCTTCTCTTCGCTAAATGGAACATAGTTTGCATTAGTACTCCATGCACTGACTCAAAATTAGACCCTACCAATGGTTACTGTGAATTTACATACACACACTCTAAATCAGCATGGCAATCTTTTTTTTTATTTTGAGAAGTATGGCTTTGGTCTCACTACATTGGGTACTGAAAGCAGTTTTGTGTAGTTAGGCTATGAGTGTGCTTTCTCTGTGAAGAACTCTGTCCTTGCATTTCTCAGAGTTGCATAGAGCGTGTAAACAAGTTCTGAATAAGGATTTCTGTTAGATTGTATTCTTCTTGATATCCCCCAACGGCAGCCAGGTCAAACATTCTGAGGTACTTTCAACGTAGCTGTCTAGAAGCATGACTGCAGCAGAAGGATGTGTGTGTGTGTGGGGGGAGAGAGGCATGTATTTTGCTTTATTTCAGCTGAAATGCTGTTCTGTGTATAGAGCATCTTATTTCAGTGGTGTATATGCAAACAGGAAATGATCGTTACGCTGCCCTGGAATGTCTTTTACTCTTTTCCCCCTAAAGATTCAAATATACATGCTTTTAACTGTAAGGCAGCAAGATCTGATACATTTTTTTGTGTGTGCCCTAGAACTTGCTATGCTAATAGCAGAAAGGACTGATGAAGGAACATGCCTATAAAAACGTTCTTTCCTTGGTAACATGATGAATTGTGGAAGCCGTGATTGAAAATTCTAATCACAGCCTTGCAGTCCTTCAGATCACAACCGTTGACAGTTGATTCACTTCTTTTCATGCCTGCTGCCTCTCACTGCTTATGGTACCTCTTATGCATGAGTCTATCATTAGCACACAAAGCATGATGGATTGGTTGGGGTACCTCTATCCTTAGAACCTGGGAAATGCTTCTTTTTCAGAATCACAGTGCCTGGGTGTGACATCGTCATGAATGAGAGAAGAAAGTAATACAGTATTGGATGTGCCTGTTTGCTGCCACTGTTTAGAGAGAAAATGATGCATTATGGGGAATGTAAGTATACGGCCTGTTTTTCCCTCACTAGCAACTGATGCAGAAAATCACTGATCACAATCAATGCATAAACTGAGTCTGGCCAATGCATGAAGGATGTAATGCCCTTTCAAAATAAAAAAAGTAAACAATTTTCCAAAATTGCATCTAAAATTAACCAGTGTAAGAAGTCTTTTGACTTTCAGCTTGAGCTAAGGATCAAAAGGATTAAAGCTAATTGATTTTGATCTCAGATGTGGATTCTCATCACTCCTAAAACTGTACTTCTCTTTCCTTAGACGAGAAACTACAGACATTAAACTGGTAAATGATTTTATTTGTCTACATGGCTTCTAATTGGCATTTAATGTTTCAGTGAACAAATCAGTAAAGTTTTGGGTCTGGTGAAGAATTGATGGGACCAATTTTCAAATGTGGAATCAAAACGAAGTGAAAATATGTCATGTTCAGGTAAAAGGCAGAGCTCTGCATCATATAGTCTCATAATAAATGAATTCTCACTACAGAATCGACCAGAGATTTGCAGGAACATATTTTTAAATTTATGATGATTCATTTTTAAGATGAACCACAATAAGAAAAATATATTGGAGACAGAGAGAAAGGAAGCAGTTTCTTGGCATACAAGACAAACAGATAATGTTAAGGCTGCCTTTGCTTTTACATTGTGCTTTCTAAAATCTGTGCAGTGAGTAAATTGATATTCATAAAAAGGTGCTGCTGCAACTGATACTAACAAACCAGCAAGTAGAACATCTAGTAGGAGTTTGCAGGATTTGCACTGCTGCTTTTTATGGGTTATCTAAGAAGTGCTGATGCTCTCACTGACACTATGAGGAGGAACACAAAGCGGAGTTGAAGATTTTTCTCCCAAGACTGGTAACTTTTTTACAGAGCACTGAAATAAACCAGTGCTGCGGCTAGTGTACATACAGAAGTAATGCTGTATTTCAGGGAAAGAAAAATAAACTTTTCTGAAGCTCAACATATTCTTCTATCTTTACTGCTTAACGTGTTGAGTTTTATTTTGAATTATATTGTTCCAGTATAAAACTGAGAAGAAATATTGCCTAGGATGAAATTCGTAGAACAGCAGCTAGTTTATTCAAACACTAGAACTTCAGATGGTGTTTTGGTAGAAGCATGACTTACTACTATTTTTATTTAGCCAGAGATCAAGCATACATATCAAATGCATAACTTTTTTTTAACAGTTGAATTACTTGCTTCATATCTTTCTATTTCACTGTGTTGGTGTGAATGTCCTGGTAATCAAAAGGCGCAGAATAGCTTTATGCACACATTGGAGCTATGTAATTGCTGACAAACATGATTTAACAGAGTGAATGAAGGAATTATACACATGGGACAGATCTTCAGCTGAAGTCAATGGAGCTATGCCAGTTTATGTACTCCAGCTAAAGATCCAGCCCCTTTTCCAGTTGGCATAAAGGGGCTCTTTGAGTTGCACTTGATTCAGTAGGAATTGCAGGCTTCTCTGTCCACCCTCCTCCTCTTCAGGCAGTGAGCTTATTAGTGAGCTTCCCTTATCTTTGCTGAAGATCCACTTTGATGGATCTAATTGTGGGTATGAGGGTTTGTCTGATATTAACAGTAATCAGTTATTTGTACCTGGTAGTGCCTGTGGACTTCAGTCATGGATCAGGGCCCCTTTCTGGTTGAATCTGCACAAATACATTACAAAGAGATGGTCCCTGCCCCAAAGACCTTACCGACCTAAGATGAGAGACAATAGTTGGATGCAACAAACAGATGAGGAGAAAACAGAAATGATGAGACTACATAAAACAAATATAGCTTATATGATTTTGTATAATATTTATGGCTATGCCCAGTATATAAATGCTTGTTCCTTCTTATCTGCCTTGTACTGGCTTTCAAATGCAAAATAGGTCATTTGGTCCTTTCTTTACCTCCAATAGCACCGACCTTCTTATTCACTGTGAATAGCATTCCCCAATGAATAATCCATGTTGTGCTGATACTGTACAGTTTCAGTGGCTAATCTGAGAAGTTACATTACTAGTCAGAGAATCTTAGATAAGGATTGAAGATGCATGTCACATTTGCAAAGTAGAGCAATATCATATAAATTAGAATAATTTCCCAGGCTCATTTTTCCAGTAATGTGATTGAAGATAAGTTATTGAGGCTCTGGAGTTTCAACACACCTTTGGTTATTCTTCAGATAATGCTATCCACCACTAGTAAAATGGTTGGTGCTATTGCAAGTAAATGTTGGTCTTCATAATAACATGAGAAAGGCAACACACACATTTCATTTGAGAGAGAAAAGTTAAAGCATACACTTTAGGTGCACGGTAAGGAAACACACACATTGATAACAGCCCTAACAACTTCCCTAGATAGATTGAGGGCTTGTCTTCACTACCGGGGAGATCGACGCTGCTGCAATTGATGCAGCAGGTGTCGATTTAGCGGGTCTAGTAAGACCCGCTAAATCGACAGCAGAGCACTCTCCGGTCAACTCAGGTATTCCACCCCCTGAGAAGAGTAAGGTAAATCTCCTATCAAAGCAGCGCAGTGAAGACACCGTGTTAAGTCGACCTGACCTACGTCGACTCCAGCTACGTTATTCACATAACTGGAGTAGTGTAACTTAGGTCAATTTACCCTGGTAGTGAAGACAAGCCCTTAGAGTAAAAAAAGCTATTTTAATCATCCTATTGAAATGTAATTATTTAGTGTTGGGAATGTTTTAGATTGGGTGAATTAAAGATAAATAAATTACTTTCTACATTTCGGAGCCCTAAGGGCCTTCTTCCAACTAATGTAATATCTACACATTTAAAAAAAATGCATGAATTCGTTGCACATATTTGCAGCTGTGGGTGTTATCCCTAATGAGTGAGTGTGATACCCATGTGGGGTGCTTGTTTAGAGTATGTATTTCGTCAAGGACACAGTGAACACTTTTAAGAGAAGTCTCTTTGATCATATTGAAACACCCTTTTATCAATACATGGATAATTTAAGTGTATAGCAGAGATCAGAATTAATTATTACCTCAAAATTCACATGATAATTTAAGAATACAGCACTAAAGCATGCGGTACAGCAGATTATGTAATTGTGTTGGAAAATCCCATGCCACATGTATTGTATCAAAACCCCAACCGTACAAGTTGAGATTTTTAAAGCAGTGCAAGCAATTTAGCCCTGCATTTTCTACTAGTGAATTTTAATGGAAGATGTGTAACTAACTCCTCTACACTACTTTGAAAGTCTCAAACACAGTACCTAAATAAGTATATGTTGAAGAGTATGTACTGTCTGCTATTGATAAATGGGTGTCATTTAGGAGTATAGGTACAGCACATATTTAAAATACATCCAGTACTGCATATTGAAATTCAGAACCTTTACCTTATATGATGACTTGCAGGAACCTGTTTGTCTAGGTAAGTGGGTGGGTCAGTTCTTCTTCGAGTAGTGGCCCTATGGATGCTTCACTGTAGGTGCGCTTGCACTGCTGATTGGAGAACTTTGGTAGCAGTGTCCATTTGGCCCACACACGTGCTGTCTGCCCTCGTACCCCACCATGAGGCTAACCAGCGTGTGCAGGCTAACCCTCCCCAGTTCCTTCTAAACTGCCCCTGGCTAGAGATGGAGCCATTAGCAGTCCATTTGCGATCGTTAGTTTTTCTCTATTTTTTTTAGCATTTTTAGTAGCTAGTTAGCCCCTTCAGATTGAGTTGTAGTTTTTTCCTTATTTTCTCTTCAAAAAACAAACAAAAAACCTCCTTTTATTTTCCCCCCTTTTATCGGGGACCCCTTCCCACAATGGGGTATGCCCAGCTCACTGGGCATCAAGAAGTGCCTCTCTTGTAAGGAGTCCATCCCTGTGGCAGATAAACACTCCCACTGCATTCACTGCCTCGGGGGAGGCCATATTCTGCAGAAGTGTGGTCTCTGTCAGCAACTTAAACCCAGGGCTCAAACGACAGGAAATTGAGGCAGAAGTTCATCATGATGGAGGCAGCCCTTCAGCTTTCCCTGGATCTGTGCCAAGACTCACCCAGAAAGCATGAATCTTCCCCACAGCTGTCAACATCCAGGGACTATGGTTTGAAGAAATAAGCTGCAGGCCCTTCTTGTAAGACATCTGAAAAGAGAGCTGTGAGCCCTGAGCTAGCTGTAAAAGATAGCCAGCACACTTGGTATCATCCATACCACTGATAGCGAGACAGTCCAAGCACAGTAACATAGCTTATGAGGGTCTGGAGCAGCAGGTACTGTTGATGCACCTAAAGACCTGATGGCCACAGGCACTGAGCCAATGGTATCGGTGAGCAAAGACAGGAGTAGGGAGCACAGTGTTAAGAAGATGCTGCTGGTACACGTTGTACCTTAGGCACCGTCAGCTGTGACCCATCCAGCACCAGAGCATTGGGTGCAGGTGAAATCCCCAACTCCCTTCATATCACCAGGGGCACGGGGTTGGTTGGCACCACAGAAGTTCCGGTACTTGAGAGAAATCAGAGTATCTGATATACAAGAGTCTCCCCTTTGGTACCACATCTTCTCCAAACATGGGAAACTTCTTCAGTACCCTGCCATGCATCTCCACTTTCTAGTGGTGACGCAGACAGTGAGTGAGAGGAGGTCATCTCTTACCACTCCTCCCATGCTCCCTATGTTGCCCGTTATCAACGGGCTCCTCAGACATATCCTCAACTTGCTGTGCTACCACAATGGTATGGCCAGCCATGGGCACCACCATCAAGCTCTATCCACCATCCCATTGGCCCTATTGGGATACCTGGGTGGCATATTGAACCTGCACTTGTCAGGCTTCTAGCCTGACTCATCGTGAGCCTGTGAGATGTTCTCCCTCTGCCATGGCATCCAGAGCCTCTGAAACTCAAGAGGAAATCATGGAGGAACAGAGTAGAGGAAGAAGTTGCACCGAGAACTAACATATCTTCCTCCTCTCCAGACGAGGCAGTGATGTCTGG